TAAAACGGTCAAAGAATTGCTCTTTCGGTTCAATCTTAGATATATCGATATCATTTGGCTTATCAATAGAAACAATTGTATCGATTTGGGATGTCGTAACAGGAAATTTATAGTATTGTGGATTTGATGAAGTAAAAATATTTTTCAGATCGAAGAAAGGAAGAAAATAAGAAATGTTTGATATATTTAAGAGTTTGAAATATTCGGTACGTGTGCCTGTAATAAAAAAAAACAACACCTTCAGAATATTTAGTTCTCTTACCAAATATTAGAAAAAACTTCTTTCCTTTTTTCATAATTAATTTTGTAAGTATTATATGATTGTACTTTTTCTGACTAGATTCATTTCAGTAAAGGCAAAAGAATCAATCATACAACACAGCAAGTTATTACGTGACTAACTGCTCTCAAGTTAGAAGTGATTTTCAAAAACCTCCTAAAAGTCAAATTTGATACACTCTATTTACTGTCTAGTCGATATGGACAACAATCGAACAATATTCCGAATGAAATTTTTGTCCATTGGTGCATAACTATGATCAACTGAACTTACTATTTAATGATAAAATATCTTGAATTGAATGACATACATTTTGAACGAAATCATCCACTTGTTTTGTATCAATTAAATACGAATTGTCTTGTCTTGCATGTAGAATATATTGAAGAATCGATTTAATATTTGGAGTAAACAATATAGATTTTGTATGTTTAGAAATAACAATTTCGAATATAGTCTTAATTAAAATAATTGTCAACGTGTCATTGGTATCGTAACTATCGTGCTTCACATTGATCATCCAGTCATTTAGTTGTGCAAGTGTTTGCTTCCATTTATCGGTTTCTAATCTTAAAAGACTAACGTTGATAAGTCGTGACCAAATATAAATTGACCACTGATTATTACGATGCATCTCAATGACATTTTGATAATCATATCGGCTTAGCATGAACCAATCTTGAGGAATATAAAAACTATAGTCATTTAACCATTCATCTTGTATGATGTCAGCAGGATGATTTATTTCACATAAATTTTTATCAAGATTATTCAATCTTTCAAATAGACATTTGATTTTCCTAGAGGCCTTTGCTACATTCTTATCCAGTTTGAATAATAAATGTTGGATAATAAGTAAACAATTTTGATTTTGAAGACTATGTGTTGGCGCTAATTCCAGAGCGATACTTAAGAATTCTTTTAATTCAAACTCTCCGAATTGATAAGAGTATCGGTCATCGTTAAGCTGCCTGCTGAGAAATGCATGAAGAACAATGTCAAGTAGTTTCAAAAACTGTTCACGATTTTCATTTTTGATTTGTTTTAAGCATCCATGGACCAACTGATTATAATCTTTGAATGTTTTGATTGAAATCTTTTGAATTCGCTGTGTTAATATCGAACGAAGATGTTTTTGCATGATTTGATTAAGATCGCTAGTTTTACTCAGATACAGAAACATATACCATATAGTGTCGATATCCACATTTGATGAGTAAATTTCCAAATACTCATGAAATAGTCTTTCACCGTGCTCACTTAACATTTGAAGTAAAGAAGAAATGTGCAGAGGTCTGTAAAGCTTTTTTATCATACCATCACGGAATGTTGTCAGAAATCGGTCAAAGAATTCTTTATGATCTAATCGTAATTTGTTTAAAAGATCATGGAAAATATCAAACGGTGATACGTCAATATTCTTTGATGGTTGGATTATTTTTATGAGATAAATAAATGCTGGCATATCGAGTGAATATGTTTCGAATGCCAGTTTATATTCTACATACTGCGAAATCCAATCAGTGAGTGACATGTTCCACTGACGTATTCTCGATAATATATCAACCCATTGCAAAGAAACTACACCATGGATAATTAATGATGACTGGAATGATAGTTTACAAAGAGCAAAGAATATGTGTAGTTCTTCTATATCTTTAATTTGCGTAACTGTAGCCAAATGTTGTTGAATATTTATCCGATTTATCAGATCCTTGTTTGTTGTGGAAAGATTTGGTGTCGAACCTTTGGTTGATTTGAACACATATCCTAATTGCTGCAATAGTCTTTCTTGAAATTCTTTCAGCTGATGGTCAGATCTTCTATTATAAGCATTATATTCTGCAACGCGACAATAAACATAAAAAAATGCATTAATTTCCTTCGACAGTCGTTGTAAATGTTCGGACGATGTTAAACTTGCTACTGCACATTGAATAATATAATCAATATCCGTTAAAAAATTATGGTTTGTATGAGCTTGGTTTGACTGATCGTAATTTTCAAAACTCGAAAAAATTCTATCAAAAAATGCTTGTCCTTCACTATTATCATCAAAAACTTTGCCAATATAACTCGCTGACGCTGATATTTCTCTCTCTGCGTTGAACAATTTAGAGAAAAATTTAATTATTCTTGCCATGGAAGCGATTGCTGTTGATTTTGTCCTATAACATAAAGCAATAAGTCATGAAAGACATACGCAAAACTAAGACCAAAAGTAAACTTTTTCGTTGAAATCAATGACGTCATCCTTACTTTTTCTTTCACAAAAGATAAATACGATTAATAGAGTTTGACTGAGGCAAACTGATAGTTTATAGGATCTGAAATAAGAAAAAATATTCAAATAAATTAATGTGAAAATAAAGTTATAGAAGTTTTGCTTTCTTCTTCGAATTAAAAGCAAGTGAATCCATGACTACACGAAGAAAATTCTGATGAGTGAAATGTAATAATATCATTACTTATTCTTTTTATTTATCTCTGTTATCTTGAATTTGTCTATTATTGATGAAGAACAGAATAGTTATGCTTACAAAAGGAAGAAAGAAAAAAAATAAAACAAAAGTGGTGGGTTTTTTTACCCTGGAAGTCCTGTTGAAATCTATGAATTACTTCGGTTTCTTATTTTAGCAACGAAACCTCACCATGGTTGAGTAGTAATTAAATTTACATGTTATCGAATATTTTGGTTATTTTCTTGGTTGATCTAATCGGTGAAGTTTAATTCGTATAAAAGAATATTTGTAGATGTAACTATATTAAGAAACTATACGTCGGAAGATGTATTAAATAAAATTCAAAGATAATTCTATAATTTGTCTAAAAGAGTAATTTATATATGCCTATTATGCTTGTTTAAATTGAAATATTTACTCAAACATACATTAATCATATATGGCTATAGAAATTTGAGAAAACAATTTATATGGAATATGTTTTCGAGAATAACTACTTCGAGCATAGTGGAAATAACAGACTGTATAATATATTCATATGTTTAACTTAAATGAATTAATTACTAATAGTAAATATGTTCTTAATTTTGATCTCTACCAAATATAAATGAAATATATGATCATAGCTTATAAAAGTATCATTGACTGATAATAGACCCTGACATCAATATTTGTTTTCTCATGTCGTGAGAAACTTTTTACATATTAGAGTGCTACCATTAGTTGGCAAATCAATCATAATCGTCGAGCTTCTAACAATACTTACTTCATTGATATGCCTTGAGTAGTTTTTTTCTCTCAATATTTAAAAAAAGCACATGTTATGTTGAAACTGCCTGGTAAAAAAAATGATATGTTTTTTTGTCCGAAATCACTGTAGTATTCTGCTTGCACAGAACAACATACAGAGCACGCGTGGTCTTTGTAAGAGAATGCTGTTTTTTCTTTATGAAACATACTTTCAACGTTCGCTTCGCACAATACTATTGCAGAGTAAATATGACACTCGAGTCACACAACGTCAGAAAACATTCATTTATTTGAAGAGTGAAAACGACAACACAGAAGAAGAAACTTTCTTCAATAATTTGTAACGGAATCACGTTGATTGTATTAATGTATCTGTAATCACTGAAGACATGTAGGAGAGGAATTTACACACTCAATAACTGCGCTTACCATAATTGAAATAACTGAGCTTATTATCAAACTTATATATCTTCCTGACATTTTTTTTTCTTCATTTTTTTCATACATCTTTTGGGTGTGGGTGGGGTGCGCGACGTGAATGTAGGTGTGGGTGAATCTGTTCATGAAGAGATACTAACAGACACATCCACACCCACCCTTTTGTGAAAGTCTTGTGGGATCTTTACACCTTGGTGTGCCATTCGTGAATCTAGCCTGATCTGAGACAACAATCAACAAGCCAAACGAAAGGCAAACTTGCTGATCACAAGCTCGAACAAAATGACGGATCTGGCCGCGATGTCCGAAGACGTTGTGCTGGCTGCTACTAGAAAATTAGACAACAACAATCAAGAGGACCAAGTAATGCGACAGTAAAGAAAATAAAAACCTTTTGTTCTGATTGTGAAAAATTTTATTGTCTTGATTGTTTCAACGAGAAACATCACGCTATGCAATAAAAAATTTTTAACAATAGCGAGACAGCATAGAAGATACGTTACGTGTAACCTCCTGCCCAAGAAAAAAGGGAAAGAAAGTGTTTTTCTGTTCAGTTTCTTGTTAAAATATGGTGGGTCTCACCTGTGGAACTCATCGTCTAGAATATGCTAACCTAGTTAGCTCATTTTTCTCACTGTCATTGTTGTTTTAAAAGTATGCTACTAGTAAATGATGATGCATAGATAAGGAAAAATTAAAGATATAACAGGTGTGAGAAACGCAGACATTTGTCATTGCTGTACGGATAACTTTAAAAAAACGAAGCTATTAGAATGATATTGCATTACTATCTGTGCTTATTTGCGTAAGTATTAAAGACAAATATGAACTTTAGAAATAGATCCAATATGAAACTCGAACATTCGATCTCTCTTATCATGCATGTAACTATGAATAAAAGTTTTCGTCCAAAAATACTCTATTATTTAAATATGAAAATTGTCGGATCTACTAGACGTATACAATGAATATTCTACTGTACTTTTTTTCAGGATAATTGCAACAAATAATGGCAAGTGCATGATAAATTTTTAAAAATACAACTTAATTTCTCTGTTTCAGGTCAATATATGTATAAACAATCCAGCGACTGTAAGTGGACATAAATTTGCTACACGTCTGTATTGCTAAATATTCTAAACTTTCATCATGACTTCAATCAACATCATAGGTCGTGCCATATCACCTGTTTCTCAGACAATGACATCATTTCAAATAGACTCTGTAAAGTCCAATGGGCATGCTGCCTTGGAAATACATTTCTAGCATCCGACTTTAGTTTCTAATGTCTATATATATATATATATTCATCGCCAAACTTTTATTAGATTCGCCTCTCTCTAAGAAAATTTTAAAAAGTAATGATAGCAAAAGATTAACAGGATTACTGCAAATAAAAATTTGAAAGATTTATTGAACTATCCATGACGCCATTTTATAGTTGGCATCAGTTCATATATTAAAACCTGGCTCATATCACAGAAGGAGACATAAATTCAAATATTTTCGTTGAAATCCTAGGTCCAGGTAATCTTAAATGGAGTACAACAGGAATAACAATCATTGGGAATGGTTATGGTTCAGGTCCAGATCAATTACAATTTCCTCAAGGTTTGTTCATCGAACCCAAAACACAAATTTTATATGTTGCTGATGTTTCCAATAATCGTGTGCAACGCTATCAAAATGGTGAAATAAAAACAGCTGCAGGTCAAGCTAATGCTTCCAGTGGATCAACATCAGACAAACTAAACGGTCCACGAGATGTTTTTGCAGATGAAAATGAGAATGTTTTCGTTGTTGACGCAGGCAACCAACGAATTCAATTTTGGGAGAAAAATGCTAAACATGGAAAAACTGTTGCTGGGAATGGAAGTGCCGGTTCAGCATTAAATGAATTTAATTATCCAATTAGAGTTTTGCTTGATTCGAAGAAAAATATAATCGTTGCCGATTTTTAAAATGAACGTATAACAAGATGGCCATCTACATATGATCCAAAAACATCTATCGGTACAATTATAGCAGTAAGTTATAGATTTTATCATCGTTGAACGAAATTCTATCCTATAGTTTTTCTCCAAAACGAGACCCCATGTCCTTGAAATTGCTAAAAAATTGGCGATTAATCGTAATATAGTGAAACGATTATCACGCGTTGAAACGCGATTAATGGCCGTTTTTTTTGTGATATTTTTAACGGTTATTACGATAAATCGCGATTTATTCACCGTTTATTTTAAACGTTAACTGTGGTGTAATCGCAGGTCTAACCTAATAAAATTGCGATTTATCAGCGATTTTACTTTATCTTGATTGATTGGATCTTTTTTTTTTCAGTTCTTTTTTATTGCAAAGAATGTCAATCGTTTATATCATGTAACAAAGTAACAAGGATAAAAAGCGACATAAAAATTATAATATAATGTCTACAGGTTTTTAACAAATTACACTCATCATGTAGAACAAAGTAGATCAAAAATAAAACATTACAAGTAATGTAATAAACACATGTCAAAGACAGATGACAAAGAGATCACAGCTACGACCAATAAGTAAACTTCGCGAAGTATATATATGACATACTAATTGAGCCAAATGTAATCTAATTTGGTTAGGAATACTATAATAGCAAGTCTATGTGTATATAAACATACACGATAAAAAACACCATAATTACCAAAAACTATTACAAAAAAATGCACGCGTCAGAAAAAAAAGAATATCATGAGATTAAGAGTTTTTCATTGGTATAATCCTTAGAACGATTCATTTGTTGCTTGTATGTTGAGACTTTGTCGTGTAGATGATGTCGTTTATACTGATTAATTCTCAATCGTCATTGTTATTTGCAAGACAAAATCGTTTAAACATATTTTATAATATATCTAGAAAAATTGCGTCGACTAATGTACTGTACTCCAAACTTAGACATCTAAAATATATAATAAAAAAACAAAATAGAGCAATTAGAGATAAAGTGATAATAGTGTCGATGGTACTCAACTATGCAATACTGACTAACATATAACTGAATAATATTTAAATAACTGTCCTTATTACATTCTCCATCGTTAAAGAGAGCTAAGGAATATTTATAAGATTAAAATAGACGCTAATACAAATGAATACAAAGAAATTAGTGAAACGTTAATCATTATGACGATTGTCCAATCAAGTGAGTACTATGCTAGTGACATTAATAGTAGAAATAAATTTCCTTTCATCATGTGAGAGTTACACTTCCAAGATAAGAGTCTTGTATATTTAATATACATTTTCATGTGTATATGTGTTAAAATATTAATTATTTCAGGAAGTATTTGCTCGTATCAAAAACAAAATAAAGATTAATCACGATTAATCATTTGTATTTTTCAACGATTTTGATTAATCGATTCTTTCATCAATATCACGATATAATCTGATTCTATCGCTAATTTTTCTTATTATACGTTTAACCACGATTTTACGTTCATTTTTTTGAAAACCGCCAAAATCACGACGATTTTCGCGACATGGAATAGTATTCATTTTCAAAGAAGAAACAATATAACGTGAAAAAGATGTAAAAGTTGTCAACAAAACAAACACATCTGATATTTGCCTAGTCTGAACTATGATGAATGAAAAATGTCTTACACTTAGTTTATAAATGAAAAAGAATAGCTGAAACGATTAAGTAGGGAAACCAATACGGCTATTCATTGTACATACTTTTATACTTTAAATAGTAAATCATTTGTTGTTGTTCTAGGGTGGTAATGGTGCAGGTCTCAATCCATATCAATTAAATAATCCAACTGGTTTATATTTGGATGAATCAAATAATATCTTATATATATCAAACGAAGAATCCCATTCAGTAACACAATGATTTCTTGAGGCTTATGGAAACAAAAATATATATACTGGTATTCCTGGCAAACCTGACAATAGTGCAGCTCAATTAAACAGTCCTCAAGGTCTAACTCTTGACAAGTATGGTAATTTATATATTACTGATTGTGCTAATCATCGAATACAAATGTTTTGTCCCTATGCTGTGTATGGTATAACAATTGCAGGTACTGGACAACTCGGTAATGGTAGTAATGAATTATATTATCCACGCGATGTGGCATTTGATTCAGAAATGAATTTATATGTCACAGATACATATAACTACCGTATACAAAAGTTTGAAAGAATACAATAAAAACCAATTATTAATCGATATATATTTTGAAAGAATTTTAATTCTTTCTATATAATGTAATCGTTTTAAAAATAAACAGAACATCGAAATGAAATCTCTATATATATAATGTTCAGTATGTGTATGCCTGTCTTTCTGTGCCGGGTTAGACGTTAACGGTCAAAGGTCAGAGGTCGATTAAGGCTATAAGCACTGCAAGGGGTGAGAGTTGGGAACCATTTAAATCAGTGACAAAAATGATTATTTCTAGCAGAAAAATGATCTTCAGGTCAAAAATGATGTTGGTGGATGGGGTGTGGGTGTGGGTGAGATTGTAGATCTTCTTTTAAACTACACCCCCACCCAACACTCACACCGACCCACACCCATACCCACAACCACGCCCACACCCACACCCACCCAACTACAACATCATGCTGATACTGATGATGGGACGGTTGAACCCGAAAGCTCTATTAATATACGATCCAACTATTATATAATTAATGGAAATTAACTTCGAACATTGTCATTTTATTTAATTTTATTTAATATACATAAGTCCTATTATATTATCATTATATTTCATATCAATAGTGCTGAATTGACTTTAATATATTGCTATTGATTGAAACTCGTCAACACATTCACAGAAAAAACTCTTAATGAGATGCTAACACATCGAAAGAAAGAAAAAAATGAAGAAAATGCCATATTACTCTTTTTCTGTAGCTGTTTGTTTACATATTCTATCTTCACATTGACACTCACTGTACGGACAAGAATGGAAGAGGAAAAAAAATCATCAATGGCAACAATAATAAAACTGCGTCAATTTATGTTTTCGCTTCGTTGCCTCGTTCGTGTCTTCTTAATTGCGGACAAAAATCAAAACAATTAGAAGACCAACAGTGTGGGCGAGGGCTGAAATTTTGTCCGCAATCAAGCTGTAGCCGCCTCGTTCGGATGTGGGTGTGAGTGTGGGTGTGGGCATTCCTTTAACTTACTCCCACACCCTCCAAAAATCTTTTAGCATCAGGAGAAAGCTCATCAAAAACTGCATCTTTCTATATATAACTCAACAAGATAATATCTGGGGAGGTTATTTAGTTTTCGAGCGTAAAGAAAATCACTACCACGCGAAATAGGTTCACATAGGTGGAAAATAACAACTATTATTTAATTTTAATTTTTTAATTGTTAGATTGTGTAAAATTGTTTGTGTATATATTGTATATATTGTACATTCACTCTTGTTACTGTTGGTATATAATTTAGTTCTTTTATAATTATAAATATATATTTAGCAGTATTTTAATCTCAAGGTGTCAGTTTTTTTTGCACTCCGTAGTACTGATCAAGCAGGAACGAAAAAAATCATTAGAGTGCCTATTCTCTTTTCTCTTTCTGTCGAGGGTGAGAGAATAACTATATCACGTAAACACTATATGTGTGATATTATCTCTTGTCGTTGCTCTGATTTTGCCTTAGAAGAGAAAACATTAGTTATTTTTGGGCCTATAATTAATTTATACAAGATATAAAAAGGGGGTTCCCTGTATTGCGTAGTAGCTACTTACTCATCATTTTTTCGTTCCACCTTTACTATACTCATCAGGTAGTAACGAAACACATCACTAGAGAGCCTCTCAATATTTTCTCTTTTTGCCGCGGGAGAGAGAATAGTTGTATCATATAAACACTATTTGTGTGATATTGCCTCTCGTTCTTGCTTTGATTTTTATTTTAGAAGAGAAAATGATAATTATTTTTGAGCCTATAATTAATTTATATAATATATACAGAGAAGGGTCTCCCTGTGTTGCGTAGCAGCTACTTGTTCATGATTTTTTTTGTCGTTGCCATTTACCATACTCATCAGGTAGGAACGAAATACATCATTACTCACGAGGGATACGTTCGAAGTGATTCAAAGCTTTTGATCTGATATTTTGCCCATAAGTAGGACTAGGTAAGACTAATGCCCGTTCAGAAAAAAAACGGCGGATGGGTATTTTTTTAATAACTT